TTTTCCAGGGCCCAAAATAATTCATGTCCTTTATTAAGGGCTAATGGTAGGAATGAACGGAAAAAAAACAAAACAAAAACAAAAACAAAACAGAAAAAAAAGGGATGTTTCGAATTTCATAATTCTACTTTTTTTTTTCTTTTTTAATACAACATGTTGGGGAGTGAATCCCACTTCATCGTTGAGCTATGTTCGCTTTGGTTTCATAATTCTACTTTCAAAGCGGCATTTTGGGACAAATTTACTAACCCATTTATATTTTTTTTAAAATTTTCACTAAAACTTTATGGTTTCTATATATTTATCACATTAGTAAAATTTTATGATTACCATTTTTACTGTGCGAGAACAAATAAGTTTAGACCTCTCTCATGTCTTCTTCATAGATGTGGTGAACTTTTTCTTTTCTTTTTTTTTTCTCCTTATTATTTGAATTAAATTGTTGTATTTTGTGGGTGGGAAAAAATTATATCTTTACATAGTTACAAAATCCAACCCCTAAACACAATATAGTTTTTTTAGTTTATCAATTGGGATCTCACCATCCACCTTAGAAGGATAAGTGCTCCAGTGGAGGAATAAATGATATATGACATTATTTTGTTATTAAATATTATATAAAATAATAAATAATTAAAATTAAAAAATATTTTATGGTTAGATAATAAATTAATTTCATATAACACGCCTRATATATCTCCAAACTTAAAARAAAAGAAAAATGAGACTAAATCCTTAAACTTTCAATTCCATGCATAGATTTTAAAATTTTAAAAATATATATCAACAGAATGATCAGCATATTTCATCAACAAAAAAGAAAAAATGAATATTCAAATTTACACCGCTGCTATTTTGTAACAGAATTTTTATTAGTTTCGATTGAGATTTATTAAACACAAATTAAAAAATTTATAGAACAGTGGATAAATGACAATTACGTAGGATGATGACGAAGCTTTCACAATCATCCTGGAAAAACTCAAAAAAAAATTCCAAGTCACACAAGGTCGCACGATTTCCATGGTTTTCATTTGGATATGGGCTGTTGTCAATTGCGAATTGGTTGGATCATTGTTCATCCAACACATCCACGACCAATAATCCTCTGCTTATTTCAACTCCACCATCCACGGCGGCCGTCGTCGGGACACCACCTCGCCGGCGATAACCCAACACCACCGCCGCGCCTTCATCTCCACAAACAATGGCCGATTTCAGCTCAACCTTCCATTTTCTTCTAACTTTTCTCCTTCTGCTTCGCCCCTCTCTTTCTTCTGCTCCGAATCTTTCGGAGCTGTTCGAAATCTGGTGCGCGGAACATGGGAAAACGTATTCCTCCGCCGAAGAAAAGCTGTACAGGTTCGGTGTTTTTGCCGATAACTATGATTTTGTTTCTCATCACAATAATTTGGGCGATTCTTCTTATGCCCTATCTCTCAATGCTTTTGCGGATCTTACGCACCACGAGTTCAAGGCTTCTCGCCTCGGGTTTTCCCTTTCCGCTGCTTTGCGGAACTCGCAGCCGGTTCCGCCGCAGGAACCGTCGCCTCCGCTGGATGTTCCTGATTCGTTAGATTGGAGGAAAGAAGGAGCAGTGACGGCTGTCAAGGATCAAGGAAGCTGCGGTATTTTTATATGCTATGTTTTTTTTTTTTAGAGATTATAATGAATTCGATTGAACAACTCTGTTTGTTCTGCTGCGGATGTTCAGGAAAAAAAAAAAAGAAAGAAACCCTAGGGTCAATTTTGATGATCACAATGCATTATATGACCTGGGAATCCCTGAAAAGGGGTAAATTAGCTTTAGAATATTGCGGTTGCTCTTTCAAATCCATTCCAAGAAGCCATTTGTAGTGGGAATTGTGCGTGGAATTCTTCTGTTTCTTGAAACAGAACATCATTGTATTTAATCCATTACTTTTGAGGTGCCGAAGTTATGCTGAAGCTTTGCTCATCTAAATGGGGGCAAACTGATGGCTCTTGTTTTCAGGTGCTTGTTGGTCTTTCGCAGCAACAGGAGCTATTGAAGGAATCAATAAAATTAAAACGGGGTCTCTTATCAGTCTCTCTGAACAAGAATTAGTTGATTGTGACAGATTGCACAACTCTGGCTGCGCAGGAGGACTTATGGATTATGCATACCAATTTGTGATCACTAACCATGGGATTGACACGGAGGACGATTATCCATACCAAGGTCGTGATGGATCGTGTCGTAAGGACAAGGTAATAATTCATTTGTCATTTTGAGGGAAGTGCTTTATAAACATATGGWTGAAAATAACGTATTTCATTTAGTCTCGTCATGCCTACTATCACTAGTTATTTCGGTTTTTTACTAGCAGTTTAACTTTTAACTTTAACCTCAGCTTTATTTATCGGTCTAAACAAGATACGACTTATTTGATTGAAATTAATTGAATGCGCAATTCTAAAAAAAGAAACATTTCTGTGTCTTCCTCATTCATAAGAACAGGCTTGAAACTGTTAATAATACTTCTTTTACTTTTTTGAGTTGTTGGATCGGATGAGTTGTTCAAACCTTTTGATCTCTACCTGAACCGATAAGAAAAAAGGATCGCTTCTTATGGACTAGTTGATAATAATTCTTATATAATCCATGGCCATTTATAAATTGAAAATGCTATGCTAGGATCACARCAATTGCTTGCTGACTTGCATTTTGTGTCTATTGAACTTGCAGCTAAAGAGGAATGTTGTGACCATTGATGGCTACATTGATGTTGCTCCCAGTGATGAGAAAAGATTGCGGGAAGCCGTAGCAGTTCAACCTGTGAGTGTTGGTATATGTGGCAGTGAAAGAGCCTTTCAATTATACTCAAAGGTCGGTCATATCTCAACTGTAGTTTGATATTGTTCCGTTCGTTATATGTGAAGTTATTACAAAATCAAGAGCTGTATTTACTTGATAGGGAATTTTCTCCGGCCCGTGTTCAACTTCTCTGGATCATGCTGTGTTGATTGTAGGATATGGATCAGAAAACGGAGTTGATTATTGGATTGTGAAGAACTCATGGGGTAAAAGTTGGGGAATGAATGGTTATATGCACATGCAGCGAAACAGTGGCAATTCCGAAGGTGTTTGCGGAATCAACTTGCTTGCCTCATATCCAACTAAAACTAGTCCCAACCCTCCTCCCTCCCCTCCTCCAGGTCCAACAAAATGTAGTCTTCTTACTAGCTGTGCTGCTGGGGAGACCTGTTGTTGTGCAAAGAAATTTCTCGGCCTTTGTTTATCATGGAAATGTTGCGGATTGAGCTCTGCCATATGTTGCAAGGACGGTCGTCATTGTTGCCCCTTCGATTACCCAATTTGCGATATGAAGAGGAGTCTATGTCTCAAGGTTTGTTCTTTTTCTCACTTCTTTGCGATATAGTGTTTGAGATGAAAAAATCAATTTACTCCACAAACCAACTCGATTTCTTATCTTGTGTTGTTTTCTCCCTTCAAATAAGTTCAATCATTATCTAGAAATGGACCCATTTGCATAAGCACATGTCAGAAAAGAAAAAGAAAAAAACATAATATAACTCGTCTCTTGTTAAAATGTTAGAAGTGTTTTCTTGTCTCTGTTCTCTCTTTGTTTTCATGCTCCAGACTGACAGTTGATATCGTCTTTGGCAGCAAGCGAGAAATGGTACAACAACAGAAGCACTTGAGAAAGCGAGTTCTTCTGGAAAATCAGGTTCTTGGAGTCCTTTCTAGGGGTTGGATTAARCGGTTTCATTTATAAAATGAATAAGAGCTGTCATTCTTGTTACTATTGTGTTCTAATCGGTTTTAGCGGCCATTTGAAGCCTGAGAGGTTCCTTGAGTTCCTTTCTCATTGTACTTTAGAGTTTTGTGATGAGACTTTTTAAATATTATAGACTTGTTAGGATTTAAATGTGTGGGATTACTATCTAACTTTATTAGTTCATGTATAATTAGTTCTTGTATATTTGATGTGAAATGAGAATTTATTTCTTTCTTTTTATTTAGAAAGATTTTTATATTGATATATTACTATTTAATATGATGATTCAAAGCTGACTATTCTCACTTTTATGACCATTAGTGTATGATTTGATTAAATGGAAATTTTCAATTTCACTTTCGTATATCCGATGGTGGAGATGAAAATTGTATTATTATCACAAACTCTGATGCATTTTTATTCTGTAAATAGTGAAGAAACTTTTAGGGATTTATCGAAAGCACTTCTACTTGTTAAAAGTACGTCTCCCTCGAAATTATCATGCTCATGTATTACTATCTCAAGTCAAAATATTTTTTAGATTGCTTTCAACTCTAAGTGTTTGATAGAGAAGTATTTAATAAGCACTATTAAAATTATAAATCCAAACGTCAAGTTAGTTAAATGTTAAGCTTCTTTTTTTCGACTAAAATGATAGCAACTTGTTTTATAAGCACTTCACAATCAATCAGTTTCGAAACGAATAAAATGAATTGATGAACTTTATTAGTTGCAATTCAAAACACGACGTGCCTTTATAATCTTTTTACTTTACAACTAAAATAATATCTTAAAAACTCAACTACAAAATTTATGTTTTTTCACTCAAGTGGCTGCCATCCTTTTGTCTCAATAAAACAAAGTATCATAATAGTATAGAATTATTTGTCGCGTCTACACGTTAAATTTTTAATTTTTATTAAATACCACTAACGTCAAAGACTTAGGTAAAAAAGATATAAAAGAGTTTCCCGGCACCAAATATTGTAGGATCATATGGTTACCCCGTGAGATTAGTCGAGGTGTGCGTAAACTGGCCCAGACACTCACGGATAATATATATATATGAAAGAAAAAAAAGGATCTGCGTTAATCATATGTAGGAAGAGTATTATAAGCATTTATTGATAAGCATAATATTATTTTCCCTACAAATGGAAGAAAAAGAAAAGACCACAGAATTTCATTTTTCCAGAATTGATTATTAATGGATCATATCGTTCCATCCCCAGCTTTTTAATTAGTTCTCTAATTTGATATCAGAACAGTTTGAACAGAGAAGATTTGGAAGTCCTTTGGCTTCCAAGCCAGTGTTGCATATGAACTCCAATGGCGTCCAAATACAAGCTGCTCCTCCCATGGAAGCCAACCACCTTGCCCTCTGTCGTAGTCGAGGTGAAAAACGACCCTATCTCCTCCCCGAACGGACCAAACTTCCCTCTGCTCGTGTGTAAAGTAAGCGATTTTATAACTTGTTGTCTCTCATCTTTACTGACGTAACCATAATATCCTGATATACAAGTCAACACTTCATGTGGATACTCCAATTTTACCTGCAAACACAGCCAGAATAGATTGATAGGGCAATTGTGAATGTAATATTGTCAGGAGGTGTTCAAGGTGTTAAATTTATTAGGTACCCGATGTACGGTTGTTCCGCCGTTTCCTCCATGCTTAACTGACCAAACTGATTGCTTATTTCGATCATATTCAATTTGGATCGAACAGAAACCTTCCAGAGACCTCGTCAAGTATATCTGTTTAATACCAGAAAATACTCCATCGTCCCAAGGTTTCCCACCATCCCCGCCCCATGGCCCGGGTCCACAGGGGGCTGGTTCTTTCACTACACCGTGAGCAACCTATGAAACAAAATCCATAAGCTCTTTCATGAATATACTTATACCAAACATATGTTAACTCCCTCCCTTTGTTCACATCCCAAATGATTAGCTGAGTTAGAGAGTACCGCTTCAGCTGATCCTCCTTTTGACGGTGCCAGTTTCTTACTCCAATGGGCACTCTCGGTTCCGAGTGATGGTGGTTCAGCAGGAACAATATCACTGCAGGGAGGACGAGACAGCGGGGTCACCTTTCCTTCTACCACGTGCACGCCAAGAGCATCTAGGAACAAACCTTTCCTCCCATGAAAGCCAACAACCTTTCCTCCCTCCCTGACGTTGGTACTAAAGGGGGTTCCTAGTGCCTCTCCGAATGGTCCGTACTTAGTTTTTGTAGTATGGAATGTGAGTGACTTGATAACATTAGGTCCCATGTACATTACAGGTCCATAGTGTCCAGTTACATGAGTCAAGATTTCGTATGGATAGTCGAAGATAACCTGCAAAATGGTCACTGCGATAAGAGAAAAAGACGGAAAGAGATGTAATAACTGAAATCCGATACAGCGTGCCTTCTGATAGAATATTATGCACCTTGTCATGTTTGAATCCTCCAGTTCCACCAGCTCGGCTTCCCCATATAAATTCCTCATCGCAGGCATACAGAACTCTTATGTAAACAATTCCAACATTGCGCGACACGTTTATTTGTCTAATACCAGAGTAACATCCATCATCAAATGCTGTTCCGCCCGAGCCACCCCAGGGTCCGTATGGTACCACATTTTCGACTTTTGATGGTACCTTCTTAACAGGCCTCTGAGATTGACCATAACCAGCCATCATTTGAGTTCTATCCTTACAAGAGTAAATGTGGGAGGGAAAAAGAACATACTCAAAATGAGACAAATAAAGGTGTAGAAGAAAAAAATTTCATCTCACCTTGTCTATGGATTCTTCATCACTTGATTCTGAGCTTGAGGAACTAGATGCTTGTTTTGAGGAAGTAGTTGGAAGAGGCTTTCTGAATTCATCCTTCTGCCTTACAGCAAGAACAATATCATAATTTTGGCCAACACTTCCTTGTATAATTGAATAGGCTTCATTTTCAGTCTTATTAGCGACATAATTCTGTGATTGAATCATTGCTTTAGGTGGCGTTTGCATCTGAATAGGCTTTAGGTAAACTCCAATGGCATCCAGGTACAATCCGCTCCTGCCATGGAACCCGACAATCTTGCCCTCAGCCACTGGGAACGAGAAAACTGTTCCTAGTTCGACCCCATAAGGTCCGAACTTCCTTTTGTTGCTCACGAAAGTAAGGGATCGAACAAAAACTTGGCCAAATGACACGAAGCTACCATAGTGTCCACGGATCATAGTCAAGTACTCATCCGGAAGTTCAAGCTTAACCTATAAAACCCATAATGAAAAAATAGTACATACAGACTCTTATAATCTTCATCAATGGCATCAAAATAAAACCAACTCGAATCATCATTTATGTCAATTTTAAATCTAAATTTCATTACAGAGAATTACAGTATTGATTATCATGCTGATAATCAATAATCCAACAAAGTATGGGGGGGTTACCGTGTCAGTTTTAGTGCCTCCATTTCCTCCATGTCTATCTGACCAAATTGAACTTCCCTTCACATCATATTGAATCTTAATGGAGTCGATGCCAGCTCCATGACAAATTACCAACTGCCTAACCGTCGAAAAAACTCCATCATTCCAATTGTTTCCACCTGGTCCTCCAAAAGGTCCACCCGGGACTGGCTTAATTTTTCGGGAATCATCAAAACTCTGTGAGAAGAAAAAGCAAAAACAAACTTCTAACTGGTTGTGTAAAAAGCGCAGTGTATACAATCAAATAATATGAGCAAATGATTAGCAGCTACCATTGTTGTTACAAATAAAAAAGACTGGAATTGTGAAGAAAGAAACAATTTTCTTGAACTTCGATGCCTTTGCACGATTGTGGTGTGTAAGGCGGAGTGTGGGGAATTTATTTGAGCCAAAAAGGCAGAGAACAGAATCAAGGGTTTCCAAAGCTTTTCAAATGATGGAAGAGATAGATTCCAATTTTCACTTTGGAGGGGAAAGATTTAGTAAACAAGAATCTGATCCCTGGATAGCATAGAAAAATATAAATATAAATGTAAAAAAAATAATAATAATAAAAAAAATCAGCTTTTGCCTATGGATTCTAATCTGTTAGGCATTATTATTATTCTCACATTTGCATGAGTCCTCCCTTCTTCTTTTTCAAGTAGAATATGGCGAGTTTCTTTTATCATCCAATGCATGGCATAATTGGAGACACAGCTAATTGTTGTGCCTATTCCTCCTAATAAACAATGGAACGAGATTTCTCTTTTTGACAGGCCATTAACAGACCTTGAAGATGAAAGTTCAATCCTGTGGGATTTGACATTTCGTACTAAAAAGTGAATTAAGTAGGCATAATTAAAGAATTCTCAACAGATCTCTATATTGGCTTTTCCCTACATATCAACCCCCCGGCGGCTCTGCAGGGAGCCCATAAACCTAACATCCTCTTGGAACTTAAAGCCTGTTGATACACGTACAAGCTTTCTTTATATGTGTGCTCCATCATGGCCTATGAAGAAAATGATAACTAGGATGGAGAAACTTGACAATCAATAATGCCATGTTCACTCATAGAAGGACATACCTGAACTATCAAGCAGCCATCCGTATGAATAGTTCTCAATACCAAAAGTAAGCATCAATCAGAACGGAGTAGAAAATCATTCTCGGGTTTGAAGGAGCTAAACTACAGAGGGAAAACCATACCAATTGAACATGAAGCTAGAAAATGACTCATGCTCAAGACGTGGGAATAACCCAAATCATGAAATACTTTCTCAACCTAGGAACTCTTTCCATAACTTAATCAAAATACCGAGCTAACAAAATTTCAAGGATCATTTCAACCTAAATGTCTCATGTCATTTCCCACCTGCAAGAAACAGTAAAGTATTCACCCAAAAAGGCAAGTATTGTGTACATGCTTGACTGACCAGTATTAAGAATCTGTATGAATTATGTTAATAAATAAATAAAATTACGAGTACTATAAATCAAATACTTCAAACTTAGTAGGTTCCAATAAAATTTATTTGGTCACCTATAAATAGATGGAGCACCTGTCAAAGTGTGTCAGACTCATGAACAATTAATTCTCAGCAACATCCATGATCCAAGTCGTACTGGAATCAGTCCAGCCAATCTTCAGAATTTGCTCTTTCCCTGGGATTCCAAATTTCATCTCTTCAAGCAACTGCCCCTCTTCTATTAAGGGGAACCTGATTCTACAAACAACTTCCACATTGTGCTAAAGGCTACCAATAATCCCCACAAGAACAGTGACCATTTTTGAAATGGTGCAAGCATGTTGAGTCACTTAAATATATGTCACATCCATGAGCCAACGAGACATATTTGGCCATCTGATGACAGTCACCACATATTCTCAAGTTTTTCACAATCTTTATATTTCTGGGGGTGTGAGACGAGCCAATAAGGCCAAAAGCAAATGCAAATTTTTCACAGTGGAACCCACCAATTTTTTCTTCCTTCTGTTCTTCATCGATAGAAAGCTGATGGTGATTATTAAATTTCTTAACTTTTCCTACAGTGTTTTTTATCCAAGTATTTAGAATGTCAAATTCAGACTGATCACCAGTGACAAATAAATGGACTTTGTTCCTGACTTCAACCCAGCACTGTGCAGTACATTTCTTCATCGCACTCTCTTTCCCAAGCTTTCTCACTTTTAAAGCTTGTTCAGATTTGCCGTATAAAGCATATGCCTGTAATATTAAACGGTAAACCACATGATTATCAGGCTCCAATTCAAGTAGGCGCTCGGCTGCTTGTACTGCCAAATGTAAATTCCCGTGAAACCTACAGGCAGTAAGTAAGCTGGTCCAAATAGAGGCATCAGGTTCTATGGGCATGTCTTCGATGAACTCTATTGCATCTGTAAGCCTTCCGGAACGTCCATAAAGATATACCATACCCAGATAATGATCTAAAGTTGGTAGAATTTGATGTTTTTCAGTGATGCTAGAAAAAACATGTCTACCCTTGTCTACCATCCCAACAATGCCATAGGCATGAATAATACTAGCCAGCGTCCCTCGATTTGGCCTAATTCCGAACCTTTTCATCTGATCAAACAAATCAAAAGCAGCATCTGAACAACCATGTAAAATATATCCTGCAATAATTGAATTCCAGGTGATAATATCTTTGGATGACATGCCATCAAAGATTGTTCTTGAATATTGAATGTTCCCTGACTTGGCATAAGTGTCTATCAGTGAGTTTGCAACAGGAAGCTCTGATTCTAGGTTTCTGCGCAGCACGCAACCATGGATTTCCTTTATTTTTCTCTCTGCCATCACACTTGCACAAGCTGGTAAGATGCTCAAGATAGTCACTGAATTAGGATTAAAATAGAGAAACTGCATTTGTCGAAATACTGCTAAAGCTTTGTTCTTTTCACCAAGCTGCTGGAACCCAGCAATTAGAGAATTCCAGGATGCTGTATTCCGCTTAACCTCCCCATCTTTTTCCATAATTTGAAAGAGGTTCATAGCTTGATCCTCATCGCCATTCTGTATACATCCTGATATCATCACATTCCATGTAACGACATTAGGCAATACATCTGATTCCCTTAATCTCACAAAAAGTTCATATGCTTTACCACAATATCCAGCCTGACAATATCCTCCAATCATTGAGTTCCATGTAAAAATGTCTTTTTCCAAAATCATGTCAAAGACATGGCGAGCAGCTTCCAATTTTCCGCATTTGGAATACATGTCAATAAGTGAATTCCCAACCAATACTTCATGAGAAATTCCCATTTTAACTGCAAAACAATGTATTTCCAACCCATTTTGCAGTGATTTCAAGGATGCACAGGCTGAGGTTGCACTCGTAATAGTTATAGCATTTGGTTCAACCCCACATAGAATCATCTCCTTGAAGAAATCCAATGCTTGACTAATCCTACTGCTTTGAGCAAAACCTGAAATCATAGAAGTCCAAGTATAGACATCAGGGGTTATCCCAAGACTCTCCATCTTCTTCTTCAATTCTATAACAAGATTACAATTCCCCAACTGGCTATAACTAGCAATCAGTATGTTACAAGTTACCAACCCTGGTTCGAACCCTTCATTACTCATTGCATCAAGCAATCTCCTAGCTTCATCACCATCTCCCTTCTGGCAATAGGCAGATATTATAGCATTCCAAGAGACCCCATCTCTTTCGTCCATGTTCTCAAAGAACTTCCTTGCTAGACTCAATTTCCCACATTTTACAAATGCCGTCAGGACAGAATTGCTCACACGCATAAAACAACTCATCCCACATCGAATAACCACAGAATGTATCAACTTCACAGTTTCAAGATCCTCGCAATTCCCACAAGCCCGAAGTATTTTTGGGAAAAGAAAAGCATCAGGCAGTACCCCATCTCCCATCATCAAAAAGAAAAGTTTAACTACTTCTTTCCACCTCTGCTCTCTCGAATATGCACCTATCATGGCCGACCAAGTGTACAAATTCCTCTCCCGCATTCCATCAAACACCTTACGTGCATCTTCTAGAAACCCACATTTAGCATACATGCTAATTAGCTTGGTCTCAACAAATGGGTTTACCTGATCGACTAAACGCACACGAACATGAAGCTCGCGACCCACTTCAATAGAATTCACATCTATGCAAGATTGAAGCAAATTGATATACGTACTGGTGCTTATCTTAGACCCACGTTTAGACATTGCATCAATGGCAGTTATGGATTCTGAGAGGAGGCCGTTGTTGCAGAGGTACCTCAAATGGTCGTCATTAAACTTTGTACTGATTTTATGGGTGAAAAATATAGCAGTTTTACTTGGTTTTGGGGAGAATTTAAGCGGTTTGGCTTTGATAATTGAAGCGGGGACTGGAATGGGAGGCTTTGTTTGGCAAGGAATTGCCAGTTTCTCCATTATTGTTAATCGGAGTGTAGCTTCCTTCCCCCGCACTTTTCAAATGCTCTCTGGTTCTCAGCTTCTTAATTAAAACAACGAAATGAAGATGGCGCAAGATTTGCTTTGTGGACGTACAGCCTCCTCCACAAACTCCAGTGGATACTGGATGGGGCGGGTGGAAACTATTGGATACTCTTTCTTTAAAACAGTTAATATATATATATTTTTTTTTTTTGGTAAAATACATTTCTAGTCCAGTTCTGTGCTCCTAAATTTAAAAAGTAACACTTTAGTTCTGACGGTCGTTGAGTCAATTTTACCGTTAGTTGAGGTGGTAATTTTTATTTATTTAAGTTTAGTTGGTCTTTTTTTTAATTCTTTTTTTCCCCTCCCCTCCCCCTCTCTCCTCCAACTTCTTCCCCCTTCTTTCTCTGCCAGATTCTTTTTTTGGCAGCGATTCTGCCATTGGCATCATCGTCATCGTCTTCTTCATTTGCTTCCCCATTCAATCGATTGCCTTTGCCATTGTTCACGCTTGTTTTCTTGACGGATGAGAGATTATTCTTCTGAAAATCTGTACTCGAGGGTTTTGGAAGTAGATGAAATTGATGAACCCAGTCGGGGGAATTAGAGTTTAGAGCAAGGAAGGTCAAAAGAATTGGAAAATGGGGCACTGTGGGTGGAGAGAAAGGTGGGATTTGGAATCTGGAATGAAGGATTTCAGTTGGATTTGGATTTGGAACGTTCCATGGAGGTGCCGCAAGCAAGAGAAAAAGGGAGGTTGGATGAGGGGAGGGAAAAAAAGAAATTAAAATAATAATAATAAAGTTAACTCAACCTAAATTAATATAAAATTAATAAAAATTTTCACATCATCACATCTCAAATGACAGTCATTTTTTCKTTAGTCAAACTAACGGTAAAATTAACTCAGGACCATTTAGAACAATTTCTCCAACCTCAAGAATTAAAATATCTGTCCCCTTTTAAATTTCAGGCACCAAATTGACACATAGCTCGACTAAAAGTGTAATTACCCTCTTTTTTTTCAATATAGTTTTTTTTAATCTTTTAGAATTTCTCAAATTTACTCTTAAGGTTTAAAAAATCGATATCAAACAAAATATTGAGATCTCAATTCCATCAACTGTAGATGGAAATATTAATAAAGTGTCAATGTAGATTAGATATTTTTAAAAAATTATAAAAATAACAAATAATTGTTTCACCATTTCTAACTAGGTTAAAAATTATTAATATCAATATTATATCTATATAAGTGAAATCTTGTTGATATTTTTTATATTTTGTCGATATTTTTTTATAATGTTATGAAAATGTCGATTTACCTCTCACGTCGATGTCGAACTATAGATATGTGAACTTGTCGATATGTCGACGAATATTTAACATATGTTACATTTTGTTAACAAAAAGTTTAGGTTCAGAAATATCTTATATTAGTAACGATTTAGTCCCTACGCTGTAATACACAATAATTTAATTTTTATGCTTTCATCGATCTAGTTGTTAAGCTTTTATATGAAACAATTTAGTTTATATAGTTCAAAAACGAGTTAGTCCTCGTTAAAGTATAAAGAAGTTTCTTACACACATATATCGCCATTTATAGAAGAAAAAAAAACTATATCTTCAAAGGGATTGCAATTACTAATGTCTTAGACTAATATGGACTAATTAATTATGATTAGATTGGAAGCAAATATTCCTAAGTTTATTTTTCTGCAAAACATTATATTAGCATTACGCCCACTCAAAAGTAAAAATGATTATTTACCAAATTATCATTTTTTTTCCCTTTGTGAATAGGCCGTTTGGCATAAGACTAGAAAACAGAAACTTGCCACGAGAGATAGAGACTACCTAGCTCATTTGATAATTTGATAATGTCATTTGTTTAYTGTGTTATCTTTTTCRATCAAGAAAAATATAATTATATTTATTAATTATTTTTTTATTTTATTAGTTTTTAATATTTATTGTGTATTTTACAAGTCAAAAAATATTAATGTTTGATCAGATTATTTTGGTCACTATATTTTTAAATTTGATTCATTTTAGTCTTTTTACTTTAAAATATTCATTTTAGTTCTTATACTTTCAAAAAAATAATTATTCATTTTAGTTCTTATACTTTCAAAAAAATAATTATTCATTTTAGTTCTTATACTTTCAAAAAAATAATTATTTTAGTTCCTATATGTAAAATTTTAATGCACTGCACATCTTTAAAGCCCATTAATGTAAAGTAATTATTATATTTTAAGAAATATATTAAGTGTACAAAATAATCACTTTTCAAAGTACAATAACTAGAATGAACATTTTGAATAAAATATATCTAAAATATATATAAGTTGAAAGTACAAGAATAAAAAAGAACATTTTGAAAATATAGAGATCAAAATGGATAACTAAAATAGTATCTTTAWCCATAAAGTTTTTATCTATATTTTGGAGGAAAAAAAAAATCATGAACTTGATTTTATTTTTACACCAGTTTAGAAACGTAACTTAAAAATGAGAGCTATCTAAAACCAAGCTTATAAAAATAGATCAAAGTGCTCCAAAAAAAAGCTGAGCTCAACTGTTAAAATATTTTGTTACTTATTACATAGCCAAATAGGCAAATACCCATAAAAGCTAGAATATCACCTAAATGAAATACAMTCAAATAGCACAAATAGTGAGGCCTTAGCCTTAGTGCTGCTTTATATACTAAAAAGCAACAACAACAAATACTTTTAACAAATCATAACAACTTCGATTCTTCTAAGTTCCATTCCAATAATAAGAAAATAAAAGCCAGGAGAGGGATTAAGAAGTTGCTAAACAAGCTGAAAGAACATCTCACTGTACTGCTACGAAGAATTAGATTAAAAAAAAACAGTGAATTCAAGTTCTTACAGAAGAATAATGAAAAGTGTGCAAAAATGTCATTCAATTTCAGAGCAGGTGCCCCCATTTATTCCACATTGAAACCTGAAGCTTCTAGCACCAGAATCACAACTGAGAGGTGCGCACATGATCCAAACTTAAAAAGGGGAAAACCCAAAAGGCCAAACAATTAACATCTTTTAGACACAGTTTCATCCACAATTAGATCAAACTCCAAAGCGGAATCACCATTGCACCAGAGGGATCACATCCTCCAAGCAGACTGTCTAAGCAGTAGAAGTAGCAGCGGGAGTAGTTCCACTAAGCTCTAATATTTTCTTCGACAGCCCCACTTTATCAGCACCAACGATCTTCTCAATTATTTTCCCTTTTTTCAGGAAAACAAACGTTGGCATTGCATTAATCTCCCACTTGCTAGCAACACTCTGCAAAGGAAAAACAGTACCCATCGTTTGAAAAAGGGGATCAAGTCATCAAGGAAACAGTTCCCATCCCAAAGCAAAAAAGTATTGATTTAATACAATATATGGACTGTAAAGAGCTAAAGTGATTCAGTTTCTTTACGTTCAATTCGTCAACGTCGACTTTCAGGAAAGCGACATTTGGGTTATTCTTAGCCAATTCTGTGAAATATGGAGCAATTGCCCGGCATGGCCCGCACCAGGAAGCAGTAAAATCCACCACAACCTATCAAACAAAATTTTAGAAACATCAGCAACAAAAAAAAAATGGACGCATACTACAATACTTGAAGGTAATACAGAAACCACTCAAGCATAATCAAACTCAAAGGCTTCTTATAAAAGAAACACGAAAAGAGTCATTAGATAAAGATTGAAGAATACAAATCAAAAGAATCCACCAATCGTTAAAAAGACAAGGTCGTAATCGGCAATTTCAACGCTTCAATTCCAGATGAATCGAATATAACTAGCCAATAGATTAGACGCAATTATATTATACGTAAACAACATAAACCCTAACGAATCCCATCGCGACTTCTACCAAAACATCGATCAGTCTCCAAATAAAACAAAAGGCAATAGCGATCATTAAACGTAAAAACACTTGAATGTCCCCATCCACACAATCCAAAATTCGACCGGAATCAATTGGAAAGTAAAAATGGAGACATAAAACCATACCAGTTTCTCAGAATCCTTCCATTTTCCTAATTGTCCCTCCCATTCATCTATCTTATGACACGCAATCACTTGCCCTTCTTCAGCCATTGATGTAAACAGAAATCGCAGTCCTGCAAAAAGTCTTCCCCGTATCTGTGAAATTGAAACGATGAAGAGAGACGCGGATGGGCAGGGATTTATATAGCAAGCGGTGGGGCAGGTCTCCGGTTCGTCTCGTTTTTACTAAATTACCCAGACTTTTGAAGTTTTATTACAGAAATGCCATCGGGTGAGTTTTTGTTTCCTTTCTTTTGTTTTGCTTTTTTGTTTCATCAGTGCAACGAGTGAATATTCAAATTTACGAAGATAGACCAAAAATTGTTAAATCGAATTGTACTAAAAAATGTATGACTTTTTGTTCGTAGCGACAAAAATCCAATTTTTTTTAAGTAAAATCCAAAAATACTTGATTGAGCTCGATTCAAATTTAAAAACATATCTACTTTAATTTTCAAGCATTCAAATTTATTCTATTTTATCAATTTAAAATTATTCATAAGTTTCTAGAAAGCAACCATAAATATTTAGTTGATATCACTTTAAATATATGTATTAACACGTTGAACGTGGACAATAATAAAGTCACAAAATAATTGACTAAGGTATATATTTGGTGGACAAATTTTATGGCTAGAATAATAAAAAAAAGGATAATTTTCTAAGGAAAAAAAATTAAAGACTACAATATATATAGAATTTAGGCGAGAGATTGAACGGGAAATATATTAACATACATGAAAATTGAGCGAGAATTTTAGAGACCAAACCGCTAAAACGAAATTTAAAACATATATTTATTTGTTTATTTTTAATCTTATATGGTGTCGTTATCCCCAAGCCAGAACAACCAACGGGAAATGATAAATAATATAATAATAATAATAAGAAAGAAGGACTCGAAAAAGTCAAGGCATGGGATTCTCCGCTGTGGGCCATGATGACGAATGAATGGGGTGACGCATTGGCCCATAATTTTCTAAGTCTCTGTGTGGGCTTTCTCTCAGGTGGAAATTTAGGCCCATTAACAAAATATAATCTCTATTTTTTAAAGAGAAAAATAGAAAAGAAAAAATATACATCGTCCACTCAGAGAAAAAGAAGATTCTGGAATTTTGACATTTTTTTTTCTCTTTTGTTATTGACGACGAGGAAGATGTAGAATGCAAATATAGAAGGAATTTTGTTTCTTCTAAAGTTAGATTAGCTACGTGGATTGATGGGGTTTGTTTATTACCATGAATTGAGAATATTTGTTTAATAATATATTTTTAAAAAGAAAACTATATTTTTTAAATGCCACTCTTTCTATTTCATTACCAACCACACATAAAAATAATAAAATTATAGAACTCCAAAATTGATGCTACCACCCGAAAGGAATAAACTTTTGCATTTGAATGGATACTTGAAGATGCTTTTAAATAATAGAAAATACTTTCTAAGAAAAATGTATTAATAACTTACGTTTGTTCAAGTGGGCAGTGGCACTCTTAAGTGAGCATAATTTAACAATAATTGACATATATTCTAACCAACAGATTGTGAATTCGATCTGCAACTTCACATGTTATACTAAAAAAAAGTTGGCAACTTCAACATTGCAAAAAATAACGATTTAGACATTGATATTAATTTTTAATAAATTATTTAATAGAAACTTAATGAGGGCTTATTTTTTGTCTTGCACAGACAAGTACTTAAAAGCTATTTGTAGTAAGTTAAATGTGAGGTATTAAAACAGATTTAAGCTCTTAAATAATCAAGAAAAGTTAAGATAAGAATTAAAATAGTTTTTTATACAAAATTTAAGGACTAAACTAAAATATATGAAAATTGAGAAGCTAAAACGTAATATTTCAAGTGGAAAATCAAATATGAAAATTTAAAAACTAAAATAAAATCTAAACCTATAAAATATATATAATATTTTTAGATGAATTAATTTATTTGTTTTTAGTACTCAAATGAATTTATTTACTTATAATTAATATTTCATAGTTAAAACTCTATACAAATTTTACAACTGCTAAGTAGTAATTGGCATATACTTCAAATCAAGAGACTGTGAATTCGAATCCCCTATCCAATCTATATTTAAAAAAAGTTACATTATTCTATTCTTGCATGTCACAATCTTTCTTTTTAAGTATGTCACTTATTTAATTTGTTTCGTCATCCATGCGTAATTGTTGTTGGTGCTCTTAAAGCAGTGACTATCAATGAGTTTAGTAAAATTAATTTTTTTGTTCAAAAAAAATATTTCTAAAACAAAAGGCATCTTATAAATATAGATAAATAACAAAAGAATGGTATTATATTCTATGTTTTCTTTAGTATAGAAGTGTCATTCAACTTGCATTTTATAGGCCTATTTATACAAAAGTCCTAATGTACAATTGTTATTAATTAATAAAAAATTACACTAAATAATACAAAATAAATATGTACTTACAGAAGTCCCATTACAATGTGTGTTTTGTTTTTTTTCAAAAAAGTCAAAACTCGTGGGCTTTAATTAAGTAAGAAATTAGACTTTTTTAGGTCTGAATGCATTTTATGCAATTTTCCTAAGATTTTAAACGTAATCATACATATATACACAAAAATATATTCCCTTTTTGTTATGTTTTTGTAATAGTGAATTTCAATTCCCCCCGCATATTGCACAAAAAAAGAAAATTCCAACTTACCTGAATTGATTACAAATTTTATTTAAACATTCAAACATGTTCCCTTTGATATACTTTACTTTAAAAAAATGATTATTTTAGTCATTCATTTCATTTTTTCTATCACAATTTTGTTTTSATCATTCATTTCATTTTTAGTTTCATTTTTTTTTCATTTTTCTATCATAATTTTAACACGACAGTATATTCAATATATTTTTTAAAATGTAAAAATTACTATGTAATAAATTATTTCAATTACATGTAAAATTTTGTATTAAAATTTTGAACCAAAATCAAAAGTAAGGACTAAAGCAAACATTTTCAATGACAGGAACTAAAATTAACCCCGAACCAAGACCAAAARTGCAGGGACAAAAAAGGATTTTAACCTATAAATAATTACACCCCAGAAGAAAAAAATAAATAAATAATGAAAGAATGCGAAGATACGGAGAAAGTATTCATAGGAAATCTTTTCCAATTCCACAAAATTTCTAAAAAAAATTAAGATATTCTCATCATCTTCTTTCTTTTTTTCTCTAAATTTCTACTGACTTGACTCAAGTAAACGTTATGTTAATTTGAAGATTCACCATGGTTAATTAGAGACTAAATTGAAACATCCTAAACAAACTTRGCGGATAGATTATGATATATTAAACCTTACAAATACATACTTTTACAAACATGTTTAACACAAATAAACATCTGAGACACAATTGTCATTAAATCCACAAGTAGAACAAACAAACTGGAAAGGAAACCAGAATCACCCATCAAACCATAATGATAAACCAAGCTGATTGTGTTCTAAGCAGCAGAAGTAGCAGCGGCTGGTGCACTCAACGCTAGTACTCTCTTCCCCAGCTCCACCTTATCTGCACCAACAATCCTGGAATTTTTAACTTCTGCCCCTTCTTTCAGGAAAACAAAGGTCGGCATAGCAGTGACCTCGAATTTCTCAGAAACTTCCTGCACAGAAACAGAAGCCACTGTTAGAACAGTTCCAACTCCTTCAAGAATATCTCGAGTAATCTAGTTTGGGAAAGAGTTGAAAGGGCTGGCTCAATTTTCTTTACCTTCACTTCATCCACGTCCACTTTCAGGAAAATAACACCGATGTGCGCCTTAGCCAACTCTGCAAAAATTGGAGCGATGAAACGGCATGGCGGGCACCAGGAAGCAGTAAAATCCACCACGATCTATGTATCAAACAATATTTTAAAAACATCAGGAACGTAAAAATGGACACCGCAACCATAGAGCTGAAACTAAATATAATACAGCCAAGTACAGTAATACAGAAGGATCGAAGAGTATAAATCAAAAATCTGACATATAAATCGGAAGATTCCGTAAATCGTCAAATCGAACTCAGTAATTTCAACACTCCAATCGAATGTAACTTTCCAAGAATAGAGAGAATTAGATTGAATACTAGGCACGAGTATTCGTAAATATCAGAAACCCTAACGAAACGATCGCGACTTTTCCCAAAACAATCAACAATCTCCAATAATAATAAGAATATGGATAATAGTGCAACAGCAATCGTTAAACGTGAAGAAGTACTTCAACATACACGATTTATTCATCAAATCCAAAATTCCATCGAAATCACAAACGAAAATGAATCAATTGAAAAGTGGAAATGGAGAGTATGAAGGAGCATAAATCATACCAGTTTACCAGATTCTGTTCCCTTCTTGAGTAGATCATCGAATGCCTCTACGTTATGAACCCCAATCACTTGACCTTCTTCAGCCATAGCTTTGAACAGAATTAGGCGTCCTGCAGAAGCTTCCCCTGTATTCGAAAACGAAGCGATGGAGAGGAACCGTGAAGGACGGGGGGCTTATATAGAGAGAGGGGAGGCCCGAGTTCACCAGCTATTACCCATACATTTTGACTTTTATTACGGAAATTGCCATAGTGTGAACGAAACAGTGAAGCGAGCGCATCTGAAAATCCAAAAAAGCAAAAAAAAAACAGTGAAAAAAAGTGAAAATGCATTTATCCACAATAGCGTCGTTATTGGTTATTTATTTCCAAACGCCGGTGGGAATGGAAAAAGGAAAATAATAATAATAATAATAATGAAAAGGTAATGATAAGAATAAAGATTTTGTTAAATTACAAAATATATTCCTAATCTTAGCAATTTGTTTAAAAAATATTCATATTCTTTCAAAAATGGTTTAAAATATACACTTTCAATACCCCTCCGTTAGTATTTTCAATGAAAATTTGACATAAAAATTAATGACGGTAAAAAAATTTTATAGGGACAAATTTGTTGTACCGTCTAGTAATTGTTTGAGACAAATTTCTGCATTACTTATTACGTTGTTCCAAATTATAAATTCTGTTATCTCAAATTTTGTTTAAAATATTTCGAATGATGGTTCAAAGAGCACTTTTCAAACATTTATGAAAATTTAATACAAAACTTTTGAAAATATAGAGATATTTTTATTATTATTATTATTATTATTTGGTAATTTAACCTAAATATTTAAATTCTATTTAAATTTAAAAATTGTTAATTTAACTTAAAGTTCAAGGGCAAACGTTTAGATTTAGGTGAATTTGAGTCAATCCTGTTCCCTAAAGTTTGTTAGACAAACCTATAAATTTCTACGCTATTTCTCACACTATTCTAGGACACTTAACACTTGCACTCGGAAACAAATTCCCCAAATTCAAAATTCATAAACCTTTTGAGTTAAACTTCTCAGCCTCAGCGTTCTCGTACTAAAATATTTGACATACACCCAAAGTACACTTAAAAATATCCAAAACGAGCATAGTTCAACAGTAATTGATATAAATTTTTGTGAGTTCGAACTCCCATCCCAATTTGTTGTACTGAAAAACTATACTTTTCTATTTTGAAACTCTAATAAAATTTGTTAGGAATGATTTTGAACATTTACCTATTTAATTAAATTAAATTAACGTGCCTATTTAGAAATCAACTGTTAGTTTCAAAATATCTTTTCACGTAAATTTTTAAAAACAAACAATTAAAATAAAAAAAATTGAATTCAAACAAAAACTAAATAATAGTAAACAAATGAAGAGGTCAAGCCGCAAAAGGAATTGTATTCTCTGGCATGGCCCACTAAGGCATTAGATGGTGAAATATTGGCCCATAATTTTCTAGGTTTTGATGTGGGCTTCTTGCACGCGTGAACTTGGGCCCATTAACGCGTGAATATAGTCACGTGTTTTAGAAAGGGAATAGGAAAAAGACGAATAACTATGGAAAACATTTTTGGATTGGTGGGACCTTTTTCTTTTTATCAATTCAATTGAAAATACTTGATAGATAAATAAATAAATAAATAAAACTATTTTTAAATGTCTCTAATTTTATTCCGTTGTCAATCAGCAAAGAATATGATACTGAATAGTAATGTTATCATTTTTAAGAAAACTTTTTAAAATGATGAAAAATATTACTGTACTTGAGTCATTAAAAATAAAAAGAAAAAAAAAGGAATTTACTAAGACATAATTACATGGGTCAAATATAATTTGCAAGTCTTCCCAATCCGTTTCAAGATAAAAATCTCTTTTTTCAATTGAAATTTTATAAAAACCAATTTGAGCCGATTATTTTTAGAAGTTACTTTTAGAAATTCTATTGAAAGTACGTATATTCTCAACCAGATCGAGTTAACCATAAATGATTTATGGGGTTTTAAAAGTAATTGTCATACACAGAAAATCAGAAATTGGTCGACTGTAGATCAGAAGGAACTTGGGAAGCAACCGGCGGAGAACCAGACCAGACCGAGTAAGGCTCGGTCCCGACCCCTGCTCGACGCCGAGCCGGACTCGACCCACGGTCAAGCCCGATGGTCATCCACCTTTGATCGACGATTCTCTTTGGGTCTTGCAACTACAAATTAGGACTCCACTGTTCTGGAACCATTCTTTGATCTATAAGTAAGCAATGCATCCTAATCCTAAGAGGCAGGAAACTCACGATTTCTCAACTCCCCTTTGCTAACTTAGTCATCGGAGTCTGTTTAGATTGATTCGGTTTTGTAGGTTTCAGCTCCCTTATCATCAAGTTGGGTGTGTGCGAGAAGGTGAACCGGAGGGTCAAAATCATTCAGTTATCCTTAAAAAAAAGCTATATTTGTAATTATTTTTATTAAAATCAATATTCAACTAATACAACTAAATATTCCAAATAAATGAATACTTTGAGTTGGACTAACTGGCTCTGGGCTCGGGTGATAGAAACAAAAGTGGGCTTCTGAATCTCAAGTGGGCCGGCGATCTAATAAGTCTAGGGCGACGGCCCATTATCGAAATCGACCCTAAATGGGACCAAATATATAATTAATTTAATCTTTCTGAGATTTGAAAATTGGGGAAAACACGAAACGGAACGGAAAGTCAAGCATCTGGGAGACAATAGAGTGTACGCCTTATCCATTTCGAGAAACCCGAGGAGGTGGGTGTGGGACCCACCCAACCGCAGCCAATTTTTGGAAAACACACCTTTTTCTTTTCCCACCCCCATGATATTTTTTTTTAATATTATAAAAAAAACATTTATTATGTAAATATAATTATTTCAAAACTAATTATTAAAATATTATAGTTTTAGTTTGGATAAAGCGAAGTAGTCTTTTCAAAGGATGACTTCGTCCAAATAATAAAACGTCTGTCTCTTGAGATGATCTTATTTTTGTTCAAATGGTAATATATTGTTTTTCTCGACTTTGGCACAGTTACCAGTTACAATAAAGTTGTAAATATGTTTGTGTAAATTACATTGCAGACAATAAAATAGAATGAAAGAAAAATGGGTTGAAATCTACAAATGGAATTATTTATAGAGCATTTGTTTGGTAAAATGTTTTTAAAAATTTGTTTTCCATGATTTTTAGGTTTAAAAAGTGCCTTTTTTTCTTCCTTCTGAAAATAGTCTTTAAATATATATATATGTTTGTATTTCTCTTGTGCATGTATGTAGAAAAACAAATACTAAAATCTTAGTTCAGTGGTTAAAATATCTTATTCTTTCTTTAGAGGTCGGAGGTTCAATCGTAAATACACATTTATACTAAAAAGCAAAACAAAATATCTAGGAAAGTCAAATCTTCACTCCTAATTTATTGGTACGCCCTCTAAAGAAGAAACATGTCAGCCGAAGTAGATTCACTCAAAATCTAAGAAGTTACATAAAAATTAAAAAAAGTAATCTTAACAAATTTTAGGTACCAAATTAACCATACATGTAAAAAGTTTTTAAAAATCAAAACTATACTTTTAAACTTTTTTTAGGATCAAACATAGCTTAGCGGCATCTATTCATTTTTTTTAAATTGGAGGTTAATTTCCCTACCCCATGAAAAAAAACTATTTCTTTAGTTTACGAAATTCGTATCATATTTCCAATTTCATTAAGTAGCAAAAGTCCAAATCTTCAGTTACATCTTCATAGTTTTCTCCTCCTTTATTATCAATTCATTGTCTCGGGATAGAAGTCTAAATACAGTGATAGTCAATTAAATATACAATACGAAAAAAAAAAACTAATAGAACTAAAATTAAATTGATGTTTGAAAATTGTGTAAGATTCTTGAACTTTCTATTTTAAGTGTAAGATTCTCATAAGGGCATATCTCTATCACATTTTTATCCTTCATTTTCTCTTCCATATATTTTCAAAAGAGTTCTTTTTTTCTTTAAATATTTCCAAGTTCATGCCATACAAAACAAATATAACTATTTAAATATTTTCAAACATCATTATAAACTTTCTTATAAATAGGACATGACATCTAACGATGACATCTGGATTGGATGCATAGACACGCCAACATAAACACACGTCAGAGTTCAAATTCTCAATCCTCACATCCATGGGTTGTACTAAAACCTGATATAGGAGACAGAATCTATCTCGAAATTACGGGGACTAAAGTTGGAAAGTTACAAAATGGAAGAGGGTAGTTGGAGAAATGTAAAAGAGTAGAATTAGAACGACAGAGAAAGTGAGAGGGAGAAGGTTGAGAAGCCAAAGTGGAATTTTGTTTGGGCAGGTGAGCTCGTGTACAGAGGAATATGCAGCCATGTGTGTGTAAGACAGAATCCCAGAAGAGCTCCTCCCATGGACACGATCTCTTCCATTCATCTTGCCAAGTATCACCTCCGGCCACGTTTCACTCCCATTTTCTTGCTCCCCCATTCCCCTTTTTCCCATTCACATTCACTTTCAGTTCTCAATTTAACTCTCTCCCCCACGGCCCCCACACACGCAAACACTCTCTTCTTCTCTTCTCTGAATGTGAGTGATGTTGAAATCCAGCAAGCAGCAGCAGCAGCCGAAGAAGGCATCCCAGGCCAGCTCCAGAAAGGGCTGCATGAGG